TAACTTGAGAGTAAAATTTATCTATTGTAAATAAAATTTTATATAATTATGTGAAACATAAATATCATTTGAATACACTATCATGATAGTCCCATATATTTCTTTAAAACTTAACACACACTCTTATAATTAATTTGTGTATTTTCAGTGAGACTTATTCACATATATATATATATATATATATATATATATATATATATATATATATATATATATATATATATATATATATATATATATATGTATCGTAAATGTTCATGCGATAGATGATTCATATTTTGTGCTACAATAGTTTCGACGCTATACAAAATTATTAAAATGAACTGAATTTTATTTATATGTTATTTTATGTTAAATGTTACCGAATTATCGTGCCTCGCATTTAATATTTTTGTTAATGAACACTAATCTTTATATAATATAAAATGAGCATTCGCTGTCTGTTCGCTTAGATTTTTTAAACTGCGCAACAGATTTTAATGCAGTTTTTAGCAATATATATAGTGATTTAAGAGGAAGGTTTATAGGTATAATATATTTACACCAGTGCGAAGCCGGGGCGGATAGTTAGTAATAATTATAATGCAAAGTTCTTCCATATAGGAAGATTTAATTCTGTGCTCTGCCGGGTCTAATGACATAATTAACTTCCACAACCTGCCAGTGATATGTGTATCTACTCGGTCTGTCCTAATATAGGATTAATAGACCACAAAATGAATACGTCCATTCAAGACTGCTGGTCAAAGAGGATAACGAGTTTACTTACATTTAATATCTACGAGTCTACAGGCATTAAATATTAATTCTATTTAGCAATAGTGTGTGTGGAAAACTAAATAACACAAATGTTATGGTTTTCAGTCGGACTCGATTAACTGTTTGCCCCTTTATTATTGTGGTTGGTTACTGGAAAGCAAATTTGCTTTTAATTATTGAACAGTGAAAATATTTTTGTGCATAAATGAAACTAATTTTAATGCAGTTTTCAGCAACAGATTGAGTGATTTAAGAGAAACGTACCGATAATTTTTAAAATTAGTAATCCACCGAAGCTGGGGAAGGGGGCCGTCTTACTAATATTATAAAAACGAAAGTTTGTAAGTATAGATGGATGTTTGTTACTCTTTCACGCAATAACTACTGAACAGATCTTAATGAAACTTTACAGTAACACGTAGGCTACGAAATTTCATGCGGGTGAAATCGCTGGCACAGCTAGTGGATAATAAATTAATCCCAATAGGAGTCATTTTTTTTATTAGAATCCTTAATGATTGTAAGCAATTTTTCATTTCAGATAGTTATTCTATCACTTGAATTATATTATAACACATCGTTGTCTTTAAATCACCTTCCTAATTCATTATTATCATCCAAGTGTATCCCACTCAGCTGATTGCCCAGCATTCCTATATTGTTCTGACAGTTATCCCAACTGGAGGACTTTCAGTCATTACCGGCACAATAGCCTGTTAACAACAGAACGACTGAACATAATAAGTGTATTATGATAATATAAAAGAATAATGTGCTCATCGAACAGTTACAGATATTCTATAAGCAGATTAGGATTTTTCTATACAGTATACATTAACATCTTTATCGTTCTTTATCCTTTACTTCATTATTTCTTTATTTTTCTTTACATATAATAAATTTTAATCGTGACTGGTTCGGAACATTTTGTTTCATTTTACATAATAATGGTTTAAATATTTCACAAAAACAGTTGTCAAATATAGACCAAAAAGAGTTAAGAAAAATATCTCCAATTTTCAAAGCGACCTTTTTATTAGAGAAAATATGAACTGTCAATATTTTTTTATATACTATATATTTCATGAAATATGTTTTAGAAATATTATCTGATTATTGTGGATATATTATTTTTTAAAGTATTTTTACACTGATGCCATCAAACCTATACTATAAATATAGTACCTAGTATCTTTATGTCCATATGCAACATAAATAGACAGGCAGTAAAATATTTAAAGTAGATATTTGAATTTAAGGCAAGGCAGTCTGATACTCTCGAGAAGGTAGCTGGTGGTGGCATTCAAGAGGCTTTACATACACTGGACCGTTCTAAATGGACGGAAATTGTTCATGGCCGCAATCTTTGGACATGAGGGATCGACCAAGAGATTTGAATTTAAAAATAGGATAGCATCTTCGATCCTATATGTAATGTATACAAAAATACCTATGTATCCGATTTTGCACGAGCAAAATTAAGGCATATAATTTATGTTAGTATGGATTTTAAACCTTAAAGGCAAATAAACTTATCCCTATCTCGAGCATTTTCTTTTATTGAAATTGCCCTTAATAAAAAGTTTTAATGTTAGGTATACCTATTCTGACTGTTATCTAAATAGCTTTTATTTATAGCGGGACTGTAATCTGCGGTTTTTTCAGTATTAAAAAAAACCGTAATCTTTATTATAATTTCCGTTTTGCAGCCATTATAAATAATGTGTCACTTAACCATTAGGGATATTTTGTAATTCAACACAAGCAGTTAATTAATGCGGCTCACATACCTACATACAAAAATTTTTAAAATAACTTAGTTAATTATAAATAAATAAAGTTGTTGTTTATTCGTTTTGATAGTTTTTTTATATTTTATTGTATTTTATATTTAGACGTTCTGTTTCTTTATAGCGATAATTTTTGTAATGCCAATCTTTGTATAACAGTTTTTTCTCTTAGAGCTAATCAAATTATATATATATATTTGTTTTACCAAGAAACTTGTCTCACTTTATTTCAGTTTATAACAAACAGAGTTAAGCCTAAACTTAAGTATTGCTTGAAATTACCTACTCCAAAAACTACTTTCATTTTTTCATTAATAATGATAATATTGTTCTATTAATTACTGTACAAAAATTTATGTAATACGTCCATTCTACCATTCGCTAATTCATCTAATAAACGCACCACGTAGGTTCTATTACTCGTAAAAATGCTAAATACAACAAGAATACTTCACAGTATAATCTCCTTGCTAATTTTACCTTACATTGATGTATAAAGCAACAACTTAAGCCCGAGATAAATAATTAAAGTCCACATCAAACCGAAGCTATTTAAATATTCCAGAGGAGCGCGTATAAGTTAAATTAATACGCGTATACAGGGCGAAACCGTAATAAACCCAAAATACAGGCAGGTCAGTATAGGCGGGCATTATCCGCGGACAATAAATAATATTTCTCATTACGCCCCCGCTCCACGCTCGAGCCCGTACCCCATTTCACCCCTATTACCATAGATGTACCACGTAACAGAGTGTAAACATCCAGTACCTTAGCTTTTTTCCTCGACTGGCAACACTTGCGATAACTGTCAATGGCAGCTAGCTGTGGTAATTAAATACTTTTACATAATTTTATACTGTCTTTATTATAATTAGTGAGTTCAAACTATAAAAAGCATTGATTGTTGTTTGTATGCAATTTTATGCACGTTTTCAATCTGTGTTGTAAACCACTAGACCCCCGAGGCCGTCAATATGTATCAATATACTAATTTATCGTTTACAATTAGCGATTAATAATAGCATCACTAATAATAGAAATACTTTAGGTAATATATGTACCTCTTACTATAGATAGTTTTTTACAAACTACTTATAGAAGTAGCTTGTAAAAGATTATGAAATGAATAATATCTACAGTCTAATTCACATAGTTTATATTTTTAAGTAACCTCTTCCACTTTTATGTTAGAGCACTGAAAAGTTACATTCTACGATGAGATCATCTTTGCCCTTCTATGTCAAGGAGCATGGGACCCTCTGTGATATATACTTATTACATACAAAAACAGAAATTGCAGTAATAATATTCAAAAATCGAATAGTATTTGTTTTCCTTTTTACATAATCATTTATTGTGTTTATCATTTTTTATTCCCATCGCCAACAATTCTCTGCACCACCTTTGGTTGACTGGTAGAAAATGACACCGTCAAATGTACTATATTTTGTATTGTATGAAGTTAAATAGATAAGTAATAATGCTGGCCATATCTTTTTTGTTACATTTTTTAATTAGTGCTGTGTAATATTGTTCACTTTGCATTGCTCGATATTGTACCGTTTTATTTGTATAAAATAATAATGGTACAACATAATAAACATTAAACTACCCATAGACAAAAATAAAATCACTTCGTATGTGTACATGACGAGACAAATGGTTTAAACTGACAGGACGATAGTGAAACATAAAACGATCCATATGAAATTAAATTGGTTGATTTACAACCAATTTAATTTCATATGGATCGTTTATTAGCATTCATTTATTTAAAAAAACATTGTATAAACCTATTTTTGGTTATTAGTGAAACATGACTATATAACGTGAAGGTAGACAACAGTCCCTGTTACTAACAATTCCCTCGTCCAGATGGATCTGCAAATGAATAGGAATTTGCATATTCACTTTACTTACATATAAATAGCATACACATTTAGCACGCATACCTATATTTAAACACCTCTGTAATAGTCAAGAATGGAAAATAACAATATTATTCACCAAGTAATCTATATCTGAACATAAAGGTAGATTTGTTTTACTAATTCAATTGTGTACTACTAATTTGATTAAACTACAGTGGCAAATTGTCACGCCACCCTGAACAAATTTATTATACCTAATATAAATTATATATTTTGTAAGTAGTCTAAAATGCTTTATACTTTATTTAATTTTATGAAAATATTTGTTTAAAAGTAAAAAGGTACAACTATCTTCATGACATCTGGCGAAAAACGTTGCAACTTGTAAAACTGAAATTTCGAACGCGCTTTGGCGTGCGAATTTGCTAACGCTTGCCTCAAAAGCCTCACTCTGTCTCTCCCGGCATCTGTTGGCGGCCACCAGGAACACACCGAACATTCCCGACTCCCCCTCCCAGTCCCCCGGCAAAAGCCTATCGATCGCCCACCGCGCCGTCACAACTTCGCTAACCGACGAAAGCACTGCCACGGTTCGGTTAAAAATTATAAATAATTCACACATAATCAGGCCTAAAAAAGATATTCCAGGATAAGAATTTCAATACCAGTAAACGGTGAGTGTTCCCTAACACTTAACTTTCCATTCACGGTTTAGCCCATTCATGGTGACGTGGGAAGAAACGCAATTTCGTGAGTTATGCCTTTTGTCGCTTTGGGTGTCGTGATTACAGTTTATTTGGTCGTTTGTCTAACTGTTTAATAGATGTATATAATTCAGAATAAACATTATAAAAAAAATCTTTAATTGTAGTGAAAAGTTGAAAATTGGGTCATACTTCCTTCCGCTGCTAACGCAGTTGTGTGTGCAGGTACCTACTCTCAGCTGTATTGTGCGCATTAAAGAAAATCTATTCTTCATTTGAATGTTTATATACTATATGCATTCTTGTATTAGTATCTAGTTCTTTTTCCATGAAAATAGAACTAAATTATAGAGAAGACTTAACTATAATCAATGAAACAAACACGGTAAACTGCAATCCTAGCTCGGATAATTCCTGACAAGGGATCCTCAGTGGATTCTGAAAAAAGTATCTTAGAATTATTCCTTCTCCATTAATAGAGTAAAACATCTGTAACAAATTTATGTATTAAATAAAACATAATATAAAACCTTATTACGAAAATCATCTGCTACAATTATTTTAATATTACAACTTTCTCAATTACAGAACAGTGTCCTCCCCACGCAAGACCGAACACCGGAATACATAGACGATGATGGATCAGGCCTAGAAGACGAGAGCTCCGGCTCGGGTTGGGGTGCAGGCCCAGGAGTCGACGACGAAGACGGCCGAGGATCAGGTGATTCGCCACCAGGGGACACTGATGACGAAGACTATTTCGACACAACGATAAAAGCCATCACATTGGCACCCGACACCCCGGAAACCATCACCCCGGTACCCATCACCCCGGTACCTAATACCCCGGAACCTGAGGAAGATCCTAAATATGACATCATGGATGTGTACGGAAAGTTCACACCGGTCATCGACGACACCACGACGTTCCCCACAGACGATCAGATCGATGTAGTAATTCGTGAGTAGAGGCTGAAGCATGCCATTTTTTTTGCGTATTATTTTATTTTATTGGATGACAAAATGAACGATAAACTGATATTCATTATTCTTCAATAACATATGCCATGTCATAACCTATGGATGGTCACAAGATTTACCAGAGGTAGACTGTAAAAGATCATCTACTTAGGTCCCTTGGTCTCACCTATTTCAACGTTTGTTTTGTAAGCTGTTTTTCATTATTGTTTAATATGTTGTTTGTCGGTTGTAGGGGCAGATTAGGCAATAACAATTCTTGATAAGGGGCGTAACACATAGTCCTCTAGAATGGCAATGCATGAATGGTATCGATAGTGTTACATTATAACGTGATGTCCATAGTGCTGTTCATGTATGTAGGCAACGGTTAGCGCTTACCATCTGGTTACCCTGAGCTTATTTGCCATTTTAATTACATTAAAAATATAACAGAGAAATATTACATACAAATATAACATATTTGATTTTTACCAAACATGGCAATTTACAAGTAACTTCGTTTAATAATTTACTGCTTAAATACATATATCGGTTTATCTGTTTTGTCATTCAAATCATTAACTTAATTTAGCCTTCAGTGTTATATCATATATTTATTCATTTAGTTATATCAACTAATATAATCTGTAAATATTCTTACCAACGAAATTTCTCAAAACCATTCTTTGTTATATAACAAAATCTAATTTGAAATTCTTCCTAATTGACGTCGTTAATTAGAAGAGACATTCCTTCGTGTCTTTCAATTATCAGTAATTCTATTAATTAAACGAACATAGAGCATGCAAAATTAAACAATTTCTCATAAACAATAGAATAGCATTAACTGTGCCATAACCTTGAGTTAAGTTATCACGAATTATACGTATAGCAGGTCAGTTCCCTTCTGCACTCTGTAGGATACAGTAATATATTTAACACCCAAGGAAAATATCGTATATTAATGATTATTGACTATAATTTCTAAGTTGCAAATCGCAAACTAATAAATTTGGTAAGCAAAGGATTTTGGTAAGTTTTTTTCTAATGTTTAGCTGTTTGCTATGTTTGTAATAAAGTTTTTATTTATTTTAACTTGCATGACTTCATCCCTCATCATGCAAGCCGACATAATTACCCATATTGTCATATTGAAATGTTTTTATCAACTTGCTCTTCGCATGCCCATTTGGTAATATAGCCCTAAATAGATGTATTATTTCATGATCAGTCATTAGTTTAGCAGTATTACCAACTCATTTATAACATTGGTAAACATTGTTTTCTAGTCATCATTGATTTTTCATCGATCGTTGGTCCTATCCATTCCAAATTGTCCAATAATACTATCCCAAGTCTTCGTCATCATATTACTAACTTCTAAATATAAATAATTAACTGGCATTTTATTCTTATTATAATAATATTTAGTATTTCACTAGCTATTAGGTTATAGTTTATTGAAACTGTGTTAATATTTATTATAATAATATTTAGTACGGCACTAGCTATTAGGTAATATTTTATTAAAAATCTGTTAATATTTGGAATTATCAACTATAATAAATAATCAACTATAGGGTTTTTAGTTAAAAATATGATATAAATTTCTTATATTCGATTGTAACTTGGTTGTTCAATGAAAGAATGTTCTCAATTTTGATGTTTTGTGTATATTACAATGTCTTCCCCAATTATATACTTCTGTATCGTTTTTAAGAAAGCAAGATTACTTCTATAGTTATTTATACTAATGACCAATATTTAATCGTTTACTATAATATTTTCCCGTCAATCAAATTTTGGCTTATGAAGTCAAAACACAACTAAATAGTATGCACTACTATAACTAAATCAGAAATTTTTCACAGTTCATGATTTTTAAATATTAATTGTAAATCACATTTAATTATTCATTCAGTACTTCCTTTTTAGAGCTATAGGAGAATACACGCTTTTATTTATAAGAACTTTCTAGAAATATATGCTAATATTTTTTTATTAAATATTCTAGCTCGTGGGGGCAAACAACCGGGTGAAGGTAACGCAGAAGTGGTCGTCGGTGGCGCGAGGGAGACACCCTCGCGCCCAGATCAGACTGACATCAGCATTTCTGGAGAAGACACCAGTCCTGACGCTGTAAGTATAATTACTTCTTTAAATTTATAACTAACTTTAACAAGAACTGGAATCAGACTTTTGCTGTTATTGTGTTCTCTTGTTTCATGTATTCTTTGATTGTTTATTATAATTATGTAAATATGTATCTTCAACCAAACTGTTTCTCATCATTTTATATAGAAAGGATTTAAACCACATTTTACCAAATTTTAGGGTTTATTTGTATATTACAACTATTATACATGTCATATAATGTTTTGTCATTACTAGATATTGCCGACTTTTTAAGGAACGGGTAATAACATATTTTTTTCTAATAATTCCTGTACCACGTTTAATCTTCGTACTCTATTATTACTCGGTAATCTAGATTATTTTTAAACCTTATTTTGATGTACTAACGTTAAAATTCCAGGATCACGTGCCGGCCGGATCAAATATAGAGTCGGAATCGCGGCCAGCAGATACCGACGTCTTCATCATGAATGCCAAACCGGAGGACAGAGCCACCAGCTTCTTCGCGCAGCCTGGCATTCTCGCTGGTATGTACCACAAAAGTCAAATCGTAGTATAAACCCGTTCAAGGAAACGGAGTTCAGCGTGAACTCGGAAAAAAAGAACGACGTTGATCTCGTTTTACTTTAAATGGAATTCACATGTGTTATATAGATCGCGTTTACCAAAATGAAGTTTAGGTTTTCATTCGTTCACAGTGTTACATGCTCATAAAATAATATTTGATGCAATGGGTAATTTAAATAAAATAATTCTAAGAAATATTTGTAATTCAGTCATATGATAATTAGGATAAGTTTTTTAATTTTTAATTTAATAAGTCCCGTCCACTACAACAAACTAAACGTCCACTAAAACAACAACCTTTACCTATAAACTAGTAAAAAAATATTTTATTTAGCATTTTTTTTAAACTACTGGCAATTTTCTTTTTATTCCCGATATTATATTGTCAAAAATTTTATTGATAACTGTTTGACAACTGACAGCTGCTTTAAATACGTTTAAAGAGTTAACTGTAGCAATTCAGATGTTCAGATTTATAAACGTGTTTAGAGAAATTTGTAATGGTGAAATGCAAAATGAAGCTTTGGACACGTTTAAACGTTTTAATGGCGTTTAGTTCGAAATAAACGCGATCAGTTTCTTTGGTGAAATCCGACCTTAAATAACGAAATTAATTTAATGAATATTCCATCTGTTTAAGAACCTCTTATAGGTAATTTTATATATTTTTTTTATTCTAATGTAGGAAGAATAGGGATTATGGAGTGGCTAAAGGCCATGTGGAGCGGTTGGAGGCCTCCTGCCAGACAATTGTTATCCCCGGACAATTTACACAGCAACATCTAGTCACAAACCAAGCGGAACTTGGAACTAGACAACTGATAGAATAGTTAAATACGATATTTTTTGAAATTTACATATATTTTTTTTTGTCTTATTTTTATAACATCTCTAGAATATTGTCTAAATTTTCAAGTTGATCCGACTAATAGTTTCGGAGATACAGCCTTGAAAAGGTTACAGGTATAGGCTGAGGGCGCAGTAGGTAAAACTGCTGCAGCTCATCTATTGTTTGTTAGCTGTAATTCTTGTCCCTTTTTTCTTTATACAAGGTAAACTACTGGAAAATATTTCATTTGGTGATTTCTCGTTAAACTACGAAGTTCATTTTGAGGTTATAAGTGTTTGTTGTGAATTTTATTCGATAAAAAATGCCGTTTAAAGTGTCTAGAACCCAGATAACGGAAGGTGTTCGTATCAGCATTATTATTAATTATGCACGGTATGGACCTAAAACTTGGCCCAAATTCCCATGAATATGATGAAACGGAATATGGATGAAAACCGGGTGACCGCAGCCGAAAAGAAATCTACCAGCGAGACTCGTGAAACCAGGATTCGTCATAGACTGGAGCAAAAGGATGCCCTGGACAATGCAGGTGCAGCAGTTCTCTACTTATGGCCTGATTCAATGTAAGTTAAAAAAAACAAAAAGACTTTTATTGTCTCTTAAAACTTTAAACGTTTTTCTCAAAACTATGTTTTCAAAGACGGTTGTCAAGATTTCTGCGAACTACTCAACCGATCTTGATGAAAAACAGGTCTTCGAGATATCATTTACAAGGTCTTGAACGAAGGATTTTTTTTTTTTTAATTACTATTTAAAAAAAAAAATGTCATTCATCGAAATTTGCATTTTTTTATAAAAACGTCTCCCAAAAATCCAATTTTCATTTTTTTTTTTTTTTCCTTCGTCCAATTAGTTTATTGTCTTTACTAAAACACGTATTTTTTATTTTTATTTCAGATGATCCTGAAAGAAGTTCTGCTGACAACGCGGAGGCACCTTTTTTTCGAGGGACTACCGGAAATGGCGTCGTAATGACCGCCATTTTGATATTTTTTTTTGACAATTTTGCAAAATGTTTATTAAATATGTATCTTTTAAATAAAAAAAAAATTCATTAAAATATTTCATTTTTTATATGTAAAAAAAATTATTGAAAAAAGGCCGTTTTTTGCCCGAGGAAACCCATGTAACCCCTTAAACGATTTTTTTTTTTTTTTTTTAATTTAATTGCATTATAGTTATAAAAATGTGAGGTAATGCATTTATTATTAAGCGTGGTAATACATATAGATTCCGAATCTGTAGGGCCATTATATCTAGTAAGTCGTACACTCATTCTACACAATATGTCAATATGTTTTTTTTTATTGTTTATTAATGGTACAACATACATATTACATTAAATTCTTAAAATATAAAGGAAATATCATGTACATTGGGATAAGCAGTGCATTCCTCTCCGATCGATGTCCCGTCCAATTCAAACGAGGACCGATGTTACGACGGCCTGAGCCGAAGTTCGAACCCCTAGTGGTGCCTTCAGACTAAAGTCGTATCCGTCAGGCGGGAGTTGGCCTTCAGGCGCTCCATAAGTCCTTCCGCGGATTTGGAGTGCCATCTGCACTCGCCCGCTATCGTCCGGTGAAGCTGTAAAGGCTAGCTGCGGCCGTCGGTTATTCCGTTCTCAATAGTTCAGATTTGTACCGCAACATAGCAAATTGTATTATTCTGCGTAGACGTTTTAACTGAGAGACAATCATAACGGATACTATGACTCAGTACCTACTTCAGTTTTGATAATTATAATAATGTGATATTTATCCTCTATTGTAGAGCAATTCAATACAACTGATTCATTACCCATCTATACATATAAATAAAATTGGAATGTCTGTTTGTAATATTGTAATAACCGTTTTTTTACTACATGGATATGAATATAAATACGGTACACACACCAAAATAATATTTTTAAAATTTTTGTCTGTCTGTCTGTTTGTTCCGGCTAATCTCTGAAATGGCTGGACTGATTTTGAAGGGACTTTTATTGACAGGTAGTTGATGTAATAAGGAGTAACTTAGGCTACTTACATTTTAGAAAAATAAAGTTAAATTCCACGCGGACGAAGTCGCGGGTACAGCTATACAATATAAAAATAGAATGCGAGTCAGTTATTAGATATGTCATACTTATACGAATGATTCTGGCTTTTAGTAGCGATGAACATTATTGAATTGAAATCACTACTTAATTCTAAGAGATGGGATGTTTAAGTATTATGAAGTAGGTATAACGCTTAAGCTACGTGAACTATGTACTATTTATTGTATTGTTTTAATTTCTTATCGGCAAATCTAATGCTAAATGAAACAAAAACCGTACCATTCTTTAATGAAATAAACGAAGCTGTTTGCTTTGTAATATGTGTTTTGATTGAACAGTGAAATAATAAAGTAAAATTACAGGCTATGGCATAATATTGTACTCATCCGGAATAGCAACTCATAGGCGTTCTCCTTCTCTTACATTTAGCTCATACAAGATTTGACATTCCAATTTCAAAAAATAGGTCAATCGTACATTAAAATGTTATTTAAGAAAGATGTTTTTTCCGTTTCAGCTGTAATCGGAGGCGCCGTGGTTGGACTGCTATGCGCAATCCTAGTAGTCATGTTCATAGTGTATCGTATGCGCAAGAAGGACGAGGGTTCGTATGCCCTCGACGAGCCGAAGAGAAGCCCCGCCGCCGCTTCCTACGGGAAGGGACACAATAACCGGGAGTTCTATGCGTGAGACGACACCGAATCGACAACACCACAAGTTTATTAGTCGACCCGCCCACCGAGATTGTCGACCAATGGACGCGTCTCGTTTGGACCGTTACTTTTTAAAATTTTGAATGTTGGTACTACGTTCCATTTCACGCACTTTTCGTTATGCAAATAATCACTTATTTCATTAATGTGGCGAAATTTTATATGTGGCTTTGTGCGTGAATACCACATTCTAAGATGAATACTGTTTTACAATACATTGTTTCAATACGAACATACAATGTACGGATTGTACTGCAATACGTACAAACCTAGTACATATAGTAAGGTTTGTCTCATCGAAGAGTTAGAATGCAAATTAAGGGGCAGTGAAATGTTAAAATAAATCAATCTAATGACCAAATTTTGTATGTAAATTCGTGAGTTGATGTTTTGTGTATGGACTAGAAAAAATAAGGCTTCACACCTTGTAATCAACAAGTGAAGCACTGATTAATGTGACTATGACAACTCGCTAAATACTTACCTATTACTGCGTTTTCATCAGAATACATGCGACAAAACATGTTGTATTTACAACATATTTTTAACAAGAATTTTAGTGGCAATACTTGTGTCAATTATCATTTTGTGCTATTTGATGATGTTTCTCAATATATGTAGTCTTTACAAGCGTTCTACATGTGTTATACATGTATAAAGTAAAATGTTTTTGGTGAAAACGCGGTATTACACAGACACGATACATAACAAATATACATACCGGTAAATAATTTGAACACGGTTTCCTGCGTCAAAATCGTCTATAGCTCAAACTTCACTGATTGTGGTGTTGTTCAATTACTTTGCTGTGAACTATGCTGATATTGACACTGAGTATTGTTAAATTTAGAATACATGTAAACAAAATTTAAAATACTCAATGACTAATACGATGGTAGATGCTTCACTTGTATATTACGCGGCTTCATTGTTTTTTCTCGTCCATTTTGAGTAACAGTTATATCCATGTAAATTTGCAAGCTTCGAGACCAATGTGGTTTGAATGTCGTGGAAATATCATTGTTTGATAACATTTTGATGCTGCATGAAAGATCTAGTGTGTTCTCTGTAAAAAATTAATGTGCCATCTTTTTTTTTTTTTCTGTAAATTGCCATTTTTCTCTTCGCATAGACTAATTTCTAGACTCAATATCTAAGTGTAGATTAACGTCCATATCTACTGGTTCTTTATGTATGTATATAAAATACAGGTAAAATGTATATTTAAGGCTTCAAATGTGCTAAAATAATATTTGGAAAATTATTGCTTCTATGTCATCGAAATGAAACAAGATATTTTTAATAATTTGGCTGTAATTTACGTAATTTGTTTGCATGTTTTTTTCTGTCAATCATAAAATTATGTTCCTAGATATATTTTCTACTTGTCTTATAATTTTTAATTAGTGTTGTAATAATAATATTTTTTCTGTAATCAATTGGGTTTTTAATATATTTTAAGTAATCTAGTGATATAAATTTAAAAAGTTTCGGCTATGAATTGATGAAAAGGAATTGATTTATCTATTTTTATTTATTTCCATTATGAACATTATTAATTAATTATTAGTTATTAAAACTTTTAAGTTGAAAGACTAATAACATTGGTTCAGATTTTTCTATGTTATGAATAATTTATACGTATTTTAATATAAATACGTATATAAATATGTACTTGCAATAAGTAACTTTTCTGTAGAACCAGAAATTTGTAAAATATTTATTATTTGATATTATTAAATGTAATCGACCAACCATTGTCAATAATAAATTCACTTTTTAAATTTAATTTAAGAGTCCATAAGAATTGCAACATTGCTCTTTGTCTTTCATTATTATTATATAAAGAGGCTATTTAAAAATCATAAATTTTAGTCGATAAGTATTTTTAATTTCGATTTTTTTATATATAGTTATACGCTTTCTACACAATTTCGGCAAAAACATATTTTATCTGATTTATAAAATATCTTCTGATAAAATTAATTAATGATAATGAAAAACAACAAATTGTGACGTAAAAAACAACGTTGCTATTCTTAGTAAAGAAGGGCCTTTTTATATCTATTTTAAACTAGGTTGTGCAACGAAAAACTACCTAATTTTATTGTTTTTCGATTTATTAGGTAATCATTATTTTCTATTTAACTGTTGTGCCATCTTCATTGATAAGAATCATGTTTACTTTTGATTTTTTTGTTCTTGACCGGCAGATTTAGTAAATTCAGACTGGACACTTATTTGTATCGTTTTTATTCAATAAAAAACTTTAATAACCTCAATAATACATTAACTTTTAATTCCGCGAAACGCAAATATGTAATTTTGATTACTAAATTTGCCAAGACAGAACACAAGTACCATTCTTCATTAAAATGGTAATACGTGCTCGTTCATAAATTATTGTTGTTAACAATTATTTTTACTAATAATTTATTGCTGATGAGCAAGTCAATTAATTTATTTATGCATAATTATGAAATAACATTAATGGTCCGTGTATTTATTACGTGATTATTGATAATTATCGGTAATTAAAATATTATTCGCACGATTTGCGAAAATATACATAAATTAATATGAAATTATACCTACTTACTTAAGTATAAGGCAACAATGTGAATTCCCATCGAACATGTAAAAATGTAAGATTACTATACATGGTATAATGAAAATTATAATAAAACTAATAGAATATTAAATTACAATTAAAATAAATCAAAAGTCTCATAGAATTCTCCGTGGATAACGCGACTGACCAACGTGAAAAATATCATAAAGTCATATGCTAATCATTTGGACTTCCTTTTTGGCAATCGCACGCATAAATAATAACGAAAATTGATGTAAAAAATATCGTATCAAAACATTTCACTAGTGTTGTAATATCGAAAATGTTCAAAATATCATATGTAAATTGCCTTAATATTAATTTATCTTTTATAATTAATTTGATTCAAATATATTTATAAACATTCCTCTTAAATCACTATCCATCGCTAAAAACTGTATTAAAATCCGTTGCGTAGTTTTAAAAAACTAAGCAAACAAACAGCGGAAGCTACTTCATTTTATCTATGTAAAGATACCAGCGTATTTAAATCATTAAATTCAAATTGTCGCTTATATATTTTTTATAAATTGAAGCCCGTAATAGATCTATAATAATGACTAATGCTTTTGTATTTAAAATTGCTGATAAACGCAAATTACATATGAAATTTTACAATCAAATTCAGAATACATTCCTGTCGGATTCGTTATAAATTTGAGTAAGCCGTAGAGGGCCTAGGCTCGCCTAGTATTAAGGATTTGTACATTGTATTTGTAAATTCTTTTAGATTTTAAACTATGCCTACAGTAAATATTAACCTCTAAGAACGTTTAGTTATTGTTCTTAGAATATCCTATAACCAAACATAAGGAGAGTACACATAAATGTTACAGCTTTCTTTTATGCCCATTTGAAACGAAATTTTAGTCTTTGAGGCGGTGACCAGATGTCGCTAGTGTGTTATACCCCTGAATTATTTTATATCTATATAAAATATATGTATTCCTTTATATAAAGAGTCTCATCTGGAATCTGTCTTATACTTAGGGTAGACTAAAATGTATCATTTTCATGAGAGTAGCTTTGTATATTATAAATTATAATAAGTACCTAATGCTAATTTTTAAATATTAAATTAAAATAGTTGCCGACTATACAATGCCCCAAATATGTATGAGGGTTTCAATTGCAGTTATCATTTATATGTACCACTATTTTTTTATTAATCTTACTATAATATGCTTTGTATATTATTTTCAGAATTGTATGTATGTTACATGACAATATTATGCTATTTTTTTATATAAGACGTACAGATATGAAAGCAAAGAAATGTCACTTTAATTTTAAAAATAAATATTAACACTAATTTACTTGAAATAGTATGCATAAATAGTTCTGTTTTCTGCTACCAATTTGTGCATATAGATTCATTTTGTAGACGCAAAGTACCAAATGGATATCAGTATGCTACGTCATTAGATAAAAATCCTATGTGCATATTTCTAATGAAATTTTGCAAGTGCATAACGTATCTCCCTTCAAATTGTGACACAATTTAAAAAACAGTTGCACAACAATAAAAAAATATTCTAATTTCATTGTTCTATTTTCAAAACTGATTTTATTGAAGCACTACATGACACAAAAGAGTCATAAACTAAATTTAAGTTTATAGTATAATTATTAATTATTTTTTAGTAGATCATGATGAAATTTACGTGAAAATAGATTTTATTATTAGGACGGACATAGGCTATATTTTATGTCAGAAAACGCATAAAGTATAAATACAATCAAAATTAATTTAATTATTTTTATTTGAGACACTATTAGAGGGGAGGTACGATAATTTGGTTTTATACACTCTTATGCATATCTCATTTATTTTTTTAAATGTACATCTTTGGTTTTTATTATATTGATAGCTAGAACATATATATTTTTTAATATGTTAAATATTGGTTTTTCATGCCTGTACGATTAGCCTGTTAGGTTAGGTTAGGCTATACAAAATGGATGTCCACCTTGTAAATAGTGCTCCTTTACACATAGGTAAATATACAGGTCATTATGAAATAATGTGTTTTATTTTATCCTTGTAAGGTTCAAAGTTGACATTGCATGACACCCAAATACCAAATTCTTCAAATAATAATGATAATAATAAAGAACAATTCACACTTTAGAACCAAACTAAGCAGAGCCTGTAATTACGGAAACTTTTTTAATGGAATGGTGCACCCGCCTGCGCTAACAGTTACACTGGCGGGGCACTGGTTCAGGATGATAAGGTCAGATCAATTAGCCCTTCGAGACAAATCAACCAGGAGTTTATCACAATATTTGTATTGTATTATGTATAGGAATGTTAAATACTAACTTTTTTTTTAAGATCGTTGTATCTTTAGTTAATTTAAATGTATTTATTGTGCAATAAAGTGTTACAAACAAACTAAAATACATTTTTTTGGAAATATATGCATACCTACCTGCAAACACCCAGGCGTGTACAAAAATATTACTCATAAATACAAATGTTTGTACTGTAAAAGGAATAGAACCCACGATCATCGGAAAGAAGGCGGTGTCCGAAACTGCTATAATACTGAAATACATTTTTTTAGGAAATACATGCACAATATACTTATATATATAGAAAACACCCAGAGAATGACATTACTCATGAATACGATTGTTTAAATCAAACCTACGACCTTTGAAAGAAAGGTGGTATTCTAAACTGCTAGAACGCCAACTTGTCATTGAGACGTCATTTTTTTTTTTGTGAATGATAGTGGAATGGTGCACTCGCCTGCTCTAACGGTTTACGCTGGCGGAGCACCAGTGGAGAATGACAAGATGAGCATGAGGTCAGAACAGTTAGCCCATCGTGGTAAATTCGCCATGAATTTATCACGATGGTTTCCAGGGGGAACCGCGTAGAGGTCGACCGGACATGGTACATTGCTAGTAATGAGGTCATGAGTCCACATTACTAACAATACCCTTCCCCCCTGAGACGTTATTTTAAAAATCCAAACGTTAGAGCTACAGAATCTGAAATTGATAATTTAATAAATACTTATTAATTTCTCCTTCTTGCGAAGGAGTAAGAATAAAACAATCTGCTCGTTTATATAAAGATCACAGTTACACATATAATCCGCCCAGAAGCGTGGCGTGTCTTGGCGGGCCGAAGGGTAAAGATTTCACATAAATGAAAAAAAAATGCATAAAATAAAAAGAAATATTTATTCATCATAATTATCTATCTGTCTTTGTTTCCAAAAATTTCATATTTTCAACAAACAATTCAAATTAAATATACAGTCTCACACAAAACTGAAGCACTAGTGAAGTGCCATAGGTTTTGGACTATATATGTATACCTATATAGGTAAGTTTAATCGTTTAGTCAGAAAATTCTTGACTT